ATCTATGAGTTTTTCCCTGATTCGAATTATAACAACCTATTTGGTGAGGTCCATTATACATATATACATGTGCTCCGGTTGAGGAGGAATTGCTAATTTAGAGCTTGAGTTATTGTAAAGAGGATAATTGTACCACATATTTATAATTATTTATTTTATTTATTTACTTTGCCTCATATTTGTTCACCTCCTTACTGTACCTGATATTATTGGACCACTAGTGAGTGTCGATGTCGACCCCTCGTCACTACTCCTCTGGGGTTAGGCTAGATACTTACTGTGTACATGTGAGTTTACGTACTCATACTACACTTGCTGCACATTTTTGTGCAGGTACTTTTATATCCGGTGGTCCTTTGGGCACGGAGGCACGGATGATGCGGGGACTTGCCGCGAGCTGCATTTCAGGTTACGATCCGCAGCCAGCAGAGTCTCCTCCAGGGTTATTTATATTTTTCCTATCTAATTTGTATTCCGGACAGATGTTGTATTTTATTTTACTTCGTAGTTGATACTCATGCGCTTGTGACACCGGATTTTGGGGGTACTTATGAGTTGTTCAGTATTGTAATTGGGAAATTATTATCATTTACTCGGTGAATTTTATTCCTGATTATTTAATTGAAGGAAAATTTTGATTTTAAAATACTAAAATGAATAATCGAGTTAATCAACTATTGTTGGCTTGCCTGGCAGCGATGTTAGGTGCTATCACGACCATTAATGGATTTTGGATCGTGACATAATTGTTCACAGATAAATTATATATTACGAAAGTGTAGTTTCACGTTAGTCCAAAACATCAAAGTTTAATTCTGAATAGTTAGCCAACGAAGATTTGTTTAATTAAATGAACTTTGATATTTCAGAATTTGTGAAGAAATTAAAATAATAACTATTGTTTATGGCATTCTCAAATATTTTACCACATATCAAAAGCGAAAGAGTAGCAAACGATTGGGAAGACAGAATATAAGTTTGAATTTCTTTAATCTAGCTTATTTATCTAAATCTCCCATCTGGGAATCATATTACAAGCTAGATAACAAGTTAATTAAGAAAACATTAAGAACTCACTGAAACTGCAAAAATAACAAATGAAAAAAAAAACTTATGTGGGGCGGGGCGGGTTGATGCAGGGCGTGGCGTGTTGGAACTTTTGTGCGTTAAGGCTTAACCCGCCCCGCCCCACTGTCATTCCTAATTTTAGGATTTTTAAGAATACTACATTATAATCAGTAAGTATGAAAAAACAATGGTAACACTAGCCTTTTACATTTATGACTTCTAAATTGTCACTTGTAGCCACAGAAGAAGGAAAGAGATTCAACAACTACTAGTAGAAGTATCAGTAAACTTGAGACCCTAGAAGAAAAAAAATATGCGAGAATTAGCAAGAATAGCAACGAAATTGTTATATGTATTGTAGACATTAAAATTTTAACGGATCAAGTTAATTCTTAAATTCAAGATACTACAAGATTTTTGAAATCTTAGGAGTCTATTAGGGTTTCTTGGAGGTTACTCTACCCTAAACCCTAACGCACACCTATATAAAGGGATACATATTCCCTTGAAGAGGGGTCTCAAAAATCCCATAAACTATTGGAATATTCACAAAGAGATCAAAATATGGCCGGATACTTCTTGACAAACAAATAGTTCAAGAAGCTGGAGATCAAATACATCCCCAAGAGGTCTCCATCATCGTACATTCGAGAAATATGATGCTTCAGCCCTGGAATCTCGGAGATAATCAGGAGAGAAGAATCAAGGGAGAAACATAATTGTACTCACAATTGATTAGTAAAAATATTTTTCTCTTATTTTGTGATTGCAATTTATTTTTCATATCTTGAAAATTTATTGTAAACAAATTGGCATGCCCAGTGGGATCAGTTCTGCCCTTCATCTCTTTCTCCTGTAAATCGAAAACTCTAAGTTTCAAAATTATTTGTTGCGATGGTTGAGTACTTCAAGTATCGGCAAACCTACACCCCGACAAACCTTGAAGTATGGGGCATTTGTAGACATCAAAATTTTAATTTGATTGGTCGGAAAGAGTTTGTTCTTATCATAACTCTTCCCTTCCACAACTAAAAATAGGGGTCTTCATAACCCAGAAAATAGATCAGAAGTTATAACAAGAAGCAAGAAAGAACTCGTGGATCAAACGCTGCAAATTCCTCCACAAGTTTCAAGTTTCAAGCAATCAAGTTCAAGTTCAAGCATTCAGGTTCAAGCTCAAAAACGAAGTACAAATCAAGATTCAAGGAGTACGAATTCAAATCAAAGTTCGTACTAGTTGAATTCAAGATCATCATTCGTGACAACAAATATAGGTTCAAGACAAAGCCCCTTGAACTTATATTGGAAAAGTAGAATCAGAGGAATCATAGTGATTGAAACACTCAAATATTTGAAATAAAATACTACGATTGTTGCAATATTTTTTGGTCTTGATTTTATTTTCTCAACGCAATTTATTGTCTACAAAATTTGTTTGCAATAAATTTTCAAGATATGAAAAACAAATTGCAATCACAAAATAGAAGAAAAATATTTTTACTAATCAATTGTGAGTACAATTTTATTTCTTCCTCGATTCTTCTCTCCTGATTATCTCCGTGACTCGAGGGCTGAAGCTGCGTATTTCTCGAATGTACGATTATGGAGACCTCCTGGGGTTGTATTTGATCTCCAACTTCTTGAACTATTTATTTGTCAAGAAGTTTCCGGCCATATTTTGATCTCTTTGTGAATATTTCAAGAGTTTATGGGATTTTTGAGACCCCTCTTCAAAGGAATATGTATCCCTTTATATAGGTGCGCTCTAGTATTAGGGTAGAGTAACCTCCAAAAAACCCTAATAGACTCCTAGGATTTCAAGAGTCTTGTAGTATCTTAAATTTAAGATTTAGCTTGATCCGTTAAAATTTTGATGTCTACGTGTATATATATACACACAAAATAATGGCCAAAAAATCTTCGGTTCACAGCAAGTTCGTCGGCAGAGCACGCGTAATGTCCATTCTCCATATTGAAGTGACTGAACTCTCTCGATGTTCATCTGACTCTTATAATGCTTTTCAAAGCTTCGTCTCACCGTTTTTGACTGAGATTGTCATAGACCGATACGGTCATGTAGCCGGTTCTAAAGGGCTGGTCCTAGAACAAGTCAATTAGTCATTCCTCCTCTCTTCTTGAGGCGTCAATGGTTCAGTTCAGCCGGTTATTTTATAAAATTTATATCATATCAATTTTTCGGTTATTCTATTATGTATAACAAAAATTAGACTTTTCGAAACTGTCCCAATCATGTCGGTGTCTCTTCTGTATCGGTACGATTAAGTTAATTTTCGATATTTTTTAATGTCATGTAAAAGTCACCCGTAGAACTAGAATACAATAACATATGTTCTTTTATAGGATTTAGCAAAACTCTCTAGACATTTTTACTGTTTAAAGAGTGATGAATTAAAAAAACATAAAAGATGGCCAGAGTATAGATCTATCGACTATTCTACAACAACGTAAAAGAAATCAAGTAAAGACAAAGAAAATATAAATCACACGAGTGAAAAAATATTAACCAAGCTGAGACTCAAAAATAAAGTCTATAGAAGATTAAATATTCAAAAAGATAAATCTAGATTATATGAAAGGAAACATATTCAATACATTGTAGTTTGCTACTCATAATCACTAAAATACTTTGTGTCTTGCTAGTGAAGATATTGAAAATAACTTAGTTTAAGTAGAAGCAGCATAATAGGTTTTATGAATTAATATTTTGAGTTAAAGTACTCGTTGACTTATAACCGTTTTCATAATTCCAAGGTCCAAAGAAAAACTTAATGCTTTATTATTTTTAAATTTACTATATAAATATATTTTTCACATGTAAAATTTATTCGGTACGGTTCGTTATTTTTTCGGTTTATTTTTATAAAATAAAAAACCTATCCTAATTATCTTTACGGTTATAGATTTATATAAAAAAAACCTACGGGATTTTTAAAAGAAACTTAAAAATCGATTCGGTGCGGTACGATTCGGTCGGTTTAGTCGATTTTTAAATATCCATTGACACCCGTACGGTTTTCCCGATACTAGTGTTCTTGAAAATATTATGTTTTGTTTTTCAATTTTAAACCAAAACACGCGTACTACATACATAGTTGCAAGTTTGCAACAAAATATTACATGGTACAAAGATTGATAGCTAAGGCGACTGCCTTTTTGATGATAGCAATTAAAAACACACATTTACGTCAAAAAAGAATATATATATTATGAAAGTGATTGGTTTCATTAATTTTCTAAGGGTGAGACTTATGTTTTCACGCTTAAAACAAAGTGTAGAACTTATCATGAAACTGTTTTAAGCATCTAATCATTCTAATTCTAAGTAACTTTACAAAAAGAAAACATCCACCCCTTCAATGTGTGTGTGCGCGTTTTTCTTTTTTAATTTGAGTATCACTACCAATAAGTCAACCAAAATCTCTTTCTTGCTTCTTCTTTTCCCTAGAACTTATGCTGACTTTGACTTGGTATAAGTTTACAAGTCAGATACTAATTTAGAATATTGTTGATGGGTGTGTAAGAAATTTAAGTTAACAGATAATTGGTAAGTATACAATTACACGCGGCATGCACAAGCAATACTCCATTAATTTGTACGGAGTAAAATATTATGGTATAAGTCATTGTGTACGGTGTTCTGGTCTACAAAGTAAATTAGAATGAACGACTATAAATTAATTCTAAAGAGTTAGTCTGAGAATTAAGATTGGGCCGTATAACATAAGTGGAGCATACCGAATTGGCCCACTTATTTGGATTTTCTTTTTCTTTTTGAGTTTTTCCCTATTCTAAATCCTTGTCAATATAGGAATATACATCCTGTCCATGTTAGTTGTTACACGCCTATAAATGCCCTCCAATTTTTTTTTCTTCTTTTCTTGTAAGCCCTATAGAAGCCTTACATCCTTGCTATGGCAAACTGGGCAGAATTGCCACACGATCTCCTAACTCTTATTGCAAAGCGTGTTAAAGTGATTGAAAATTTCATTGCTTTTAGTGCTGTTTGTAACTCATGGCGAACTGCTGCTACGAAGGAAAATTTTGATGCGTTTTCGCCCCAAGTTCCGTTGCTAATGCTAGCTGCTGATAAAGATAGTGATGATTATCGGGAATTTTACTCTCTTTCCAAGCAGAATGTTTCACGCATATTTCTCCCGGAAGCTAGAGGGCCAGTAGAGTGTTTTCCATCGGAAGGGTGGCTTTGCGCCATCTCATGCATAGGAGAGATGAAGTTGTTACAACCTTTCTCTCGCATCAGTATACAGCTTCCCTCGCTAAAAGCTTTATTGTCTTTACATGGCGAAGAAGCACCTAAAGAAGGAGAGTGGCATTGCATAGACAAAGCTGTCTTATCTGCTAGTCCTTCTGTTACATCAGATTATTCACTGGTGATTTCCCGTTTTGGGGAGGGTAGCTTGTTGTCTTTTTGGCGACCTGGAGACCTCAACTGGACTAATATTAATTTCAAGAAATTTGATGGAATCTCCACTATGGTTTGCTGTAAGGGGCAATTTTATGCACTAACTTTCGGTGGTGAAGTTTGGGTTTTTGATATTGCATGCCGTAGTATTTCCAAACCAATTGTAGAGCCACGCATACTTGCTCGGCTTAGAGATGATGATGTATTTCACAATCCAGTTCACTTCTACCTAGTTGAGATATCCGATGCACTATTTATTTTAACTAGATTTTTACATTCTAATGGTCTTGGGTGTTATCACACTGTTAAATTTAATGTATATGAACTAGATCTAACCAAAGCTAAATTGAACAAGGTCAGCACTTTGGGAAATTCAGCAATTTGTTTGGGCCGGAATGGAGCAAGTTCTATTGACTCATCTGCCTTTACAATAGTCAAGCCTAATCAAATATATTTTACTGATGATGGGGTTGATGAATATAAGTATTGTGAAGGTGGTGGTGGCGGAAGAGATATGGGGGCTTACCATCTTGACGATGGAAGCATTGAATCGTTTTATCCTGGATTGTCACTAAGTCCTATTTGCCCACCAACTTGGGTCAAACCATCATTCTCATAATGTGTCATGTTGCGATGCTATATATTGTTTCTTTTCAGTTTGGTTATTTTTGTTAGTCAGGTTACTTGGCTCGATCGAACTTGTGACCTAGTGGCATGATGAAGACTCTCTTAACCGCTATGAACAGGAATGGCTGGTATTCTTTTCAGTTTGGTTATTTATTATTTTTTGCAAATTATTTAAGTTGATTTATTTGTTTTGGTTCATGTATTAATCTGCCTGCGGATGGATGATGATACTTAATAAAATGTAGTTGCGCTTTCTCTAGATGATTGAGGCTTTCTTACATTAGAGTTGGAGTTTCAATGGTAAATGTAGTTACAGCTACTTGTGCACACACTTATATCCCACTCAGATAGTACCATTTATCTATCAATGTACCCGAAAAATATAGATATACAGTTCATGATTCTGCTACATTTGCTCTTTTCATTGTTCTGAACCTGGTTGGTGTACTAGAGTATGTTCTTCATTTTATTTTGGATACCTTCTCGAGGAAAAGGAGGCTCAAAGTTGTAACAAGAACATTTTACTGCCTTTGGCTTGGTACAAGGTTCCAGTCAGATGCTATATTATTGATAGGTGTGTGACAAACTTAAGTCAATAATTGGTGAGTAGAAATATTATAACTTTAAATTAAACTATTTAAATTTTATATTAGTGAGTAAAATATTTTTTATAACAACATCCAAGGTAATATATTGCAAGCACATGGGTAACATCTTATTAACTTGAAATATTCTTTATCAATATAAATAACAATCTTACTACATGAAGTTAAAGACTTTATGTATTCTGAGAATACTACACTATAATCATTAAAAGATTTTACATGTTGCAACTCATGCTATCAATCATGTCAGCAAAATATGTTTGATTGATATATTTTCGGTCTACTACAGGTGTTCAATCAAAACAAAACCTATCCGAATTATCTAAATGAGAAATCGTGATAACTTCAAAAAAGAATGGTGACACTAGCTAACGTTTTGCAGTTATGGCTCCTACATTGGTACCCCTAGCCAGGAAGAAAGAAGCATATTCAGCAACTACTAGTAGAATTAGGAGTAAACTAGATACCCTATATGCAAAAGAAAATGCGAGAATCGACAAGAATAACAAAGAAAGTTATGTATTAACACAAATTAGAAAGAGGTTTAGAATCAATGCCCGAAAAATCGTCAGTGGCCTGGGCCTAATTTACACATTCTCCGTATTGAAGTGAATGAACTTTCTGAATATTCCTGTGACTGTTGTAGTGCATTTCCAAAGCTTTATCATAAAATACCAGTCAAAATAGAAAGCCAAACTATATACTCATCTCCTGAAATGCCTCAAAGATTTCCAAAGCAGAGGGACGTTCTTCTTTGGCTCTTATACTGACACACTTTGCCCCTATAGTAAGTAGTCTCCTTGCTATTTCCCCTTCGCATCCAGCAGCTCTCATGTGTTGCTTGACTAATATTGTGAGATCCTTACCTTGGTCGAGATATGCATTTATATGTGTACCAAATCGGTAACCGTTCTCCCGTTCCTCAACTTCGTGTGTGAGGAGTTGGAATAGTATGACCCCATAGGCAAAGACATCACGTCGGGCTTGCATCTAGAGAAAGTGAAAGGACATGATAATTTAGTATTTCTGTGACACAACCATGAACCAACACATTGCGAAAAAAATAAGCATTAATTGAATTTTAGGGGTTTAAAATAAAATTTGGAAGTAGGGGTTGGAGGGCCAAAAATAACCACCGAGTAAATACTAGTTTGTCTCAAAAAATAATTTTTTTAAATATCCAAACGATAGCTAGGTGGGATCGGTGTGATTTTGTAGTCGCTCCTAAGCGGGCCACCTAGTCATTCCTCCCCTTTTCTGCTTTTGTTTTTCCTTCCCTTGTCACATCCCCTCCCCGTTTCGTGGGACAGGGACAATCGGATTTTGGGCCTGATGAAGACCATAATGGACTGAAACGCCCCAGTCGACAACCTTAGATGTGGCTTGGAAAAAATTTACTTTGAGGTGACTAAAACTTTAAGACAATCAAGGGAAAGAATTGTGTAATATGTGTCATGAATCAATCACTTTCTTATGATGCCTTTTTAATTTGTTAATCTGTTTAATAACCTCACACCTCAATTTGATAATTGCGTCCCAATTTTTGTCTCGAACGTTTTTTGTTCGGACAAGTTTTGGAACAAGTTGAATTTTTTTTTGTTTTCCACCCGGTGTTCGGTACCCGTATTGGAGTCCGACTATATCCGAATTCGCACCGCGTAGGGCCCATTCGAGAGAAAACACTCCCTACCAAGGATTTTTCCATACTCAGGACTCGAACCCGACACCTCTAGTTAATACCCAGGACTCGAACCCGACACCTCTAGTTAAAATAAGTTGATGGAGTCTGGTGCACCGGTAAAACGAAGATCAGGTCATTTTAGCAGAAGAAGATCACCTGACACCCTTTACGATAGCGAATTCGCCTTTGCTTTTATTTTAATTAAATACCTTGGACAATTATTATAGCTCACTATGGGACAAGGATGATTTCTATCTTTTTAATGCTATTGATTCTTATTCTCTTATCTCTATCAGAGTTTCACCTAAGATTGACGTTAGCAAATATTCTTTTGGGTAGGTTTAAATTTTTCTAGAGGCATCCTTCTTAGCCTCTGATTTTCATCCACAGAAAATAAGTTTGAAAAATGGTTATTATAATAAACAGTCTTGAGGCTCATACTATTGTATATCTCGATATGTTGACACTCTCTCTAAACAACAATAGTACGAGTAGTTACTTAAGGTGTGTTTCAAATGGTACCTGAAACAATCTACGCATAAAATAATTAAATTTAATGTATGTTTCAAATGATAATTGGGATGAACTACTAACATAAATTAGACACTCTGGCTGTATATCACCAGCAGAGTTACACTAAGCAAACCCAATCACCCTCTAATATCAACTCGAACAAAGCACAAAAAATATGTGTAAAGAAAATTTAACGGTATGTTTGGTTTATGGCCCAGTTATGCAGGAATTACGACACGGATTATTTAGTATGAATTGTTTTGTGGTGAATAATAAAATACATATACTATAACGTACAAGATCGCCTATTTTAAGGGCATGTCTTTAGATATTTTTACTTACGTGTTGCTCCACATTATGGTCCTTAATTAATATAATACATACATTCTCATATAAATGGAGTCAATATATTAGTAATATAATATTTGACTTCCGATATTAAACTCCACATAAATCATGCAAAGTTCAATATCGACAATCAAACAATGGATTAGTTACACATAAATTACATTAGTAATGCATGATTATGTACTAAATAAATTTTCTTATTCCTCCAACCAAATAACCCCTTAAGAAAAGGAGGAGAGAATGCACTAGTGATAATATTGCATATTGTCTTATTTCTAGAAGATAGCAAAATCTTGTAAACTATCCCTCTTCCTTTAACGAACGTCTTAATTGGTTCAATAAAACTTATGACTTTCGGTTGCATAGCCTATTCGTAAGAATTTCTTCATTTTTCTTGTACACATAATTGCATAGCGAGGCCGACAAACATCGAAGGAATCGCTAACTTCCCGCTTCGAAATAAGTGTGATAAACATAGAATTTCTCTATTTGATGATCTGACCTGCTTTTAAGAGACCTCAATAGCTTTATTAATGTGTGAGGCCACATCCTTTGGCAGAAGGCAGACGGGAAATCGTCGGGACCTGGGGGTTTATTATTCTGATTCTCATTCTTCAAACGTGATCTCCCGTCTAAGCCACGGATGGTCCTATGTGTCCATTTTTCGATTTTTTGGTGCATTTGCCATCATCTCGATTCAGAATTTTATTTAAGTAGGCAGCAGCGCTAATACGTAATCTCCCATCATCTGTTGGGAATAAACCCCCACGGAAATAATATTTACGGTAATAAAAGCGGAATAATAACGTAGCACCGAGATACAGTAATTAACAAGAATAAAAGAATGACAACGGCACAAAAATTTTTACGTGGAAAACCCTTTTGAATAAGAAAAAGAATCACGGCCCGAGACGAGCAAATAATATCACTATAGTAAGGAATTTTACACTTTGTATGTCTGAGTAAAATACTCCAAACACCACTACAACACTCAAAAGAAATAACCCTTTTTTGATATTCTCACCTTACTACAATATCGCTTACTCTCTATTTTTCTCAGAGCCTAATTTCTTATACCCTGTCTGTGAAACCTCACTTTTTCTTTCTCTCTTTGTTAGTGTGTAGAAATGAGAGCTAAAACTCTCCTTTTATAGCCGAAGCCTCACTCTCTAAAGCCTACTATATTTGATAATTTACACACACTTTTCCTTCTTTTTCTTCAATGTTGACAATTCAACAAAGTTGGCTACCAAACCAAAGAAATTCAACAAAGTTGGCTACCAAATCAAAGAAATTCTCAGCCAAATATTTTCCTTAGGCACATGCCTATTACTTTGGCTTTTGATTGAGATGGACCCCATCAATCTCCTCATCCAGTCTCATTCATCTAGAGGAGGTAGCACTGTCTTCTAGTTTGAGTGCATGCCGACAAGTTCTTTGCACAATTCGAACTTGTCTCTTGGTACCACCTTGGTCAGCATATATGCGGGATTCTCACTTGTAGAAATCTTCAAAACTTTTAGAGATTCATTCTCTATCATTTCTAGAATCCAGTGATATCTCACGTCGATGTGTTTGGTCCTTGCATGGTACATGGTGTTCTTGCTAAGGTCTATTGCACTTTAACTATCACAATAGACGACATACTCCTTCTGATGCAATCCAAGATCTTGGAGGAACCGTTTTAACTATATCATCTCCTTGCCAGCTTCAGTAGCGACAATATACTCCGCTTCAGTTGTAGAGAGTGCGACACGCTTCTGCAACCTTGACTGCTATGATATAGCTCTCCCTAAAAATGTAAATACATATCCAGTAGTGAATTTTCTGTTATCAATGTCACCT